CAAATATACACACCATCTACACGTCTAGAAAAAAGAATTAATTATGAACATGTACAATATACATTATTAATGTTTATCTTATAATTGCGACAAAGTCCACAAAAGCGTTTGTTTACATTGCATGAATATTTCAGAAGATAAAATAAAGTTTTTATTTCACTTTAGTTGTATTTCACTTTCAACTCGATTCATATGACGGCGGCCTGTAAATAATCGGGGAGCAACGATCCATGCTGTCGGGGTACAATTCTAAAAGGGACTCTTCATGGGTTGATCAAGTTCAGAACATTAAAGGCCTTTATATGGCAGACATGAGAATGTTGGTTGGTTGGTTGGTTTGTTGTTTAACGCCGCACTGAGGAATAGTCTAGCTATATGACGCTATAAATAATCTAGTGATTGATATCATGAGCATCGATCCACCCAATTGAGATTCATGACATGCATCAACTAAATCAGCGAGCCCGATCCCGTTAGTCGCCTCTTACGACAAGCATAGTCGCCTTTTATGGCAAGCATGGGTTGCCGAAGACATGAGAAGGACATTTCCAAATTTGACGCATCAGTGAAATACATTTTTTTCCGATCAATTACCTTTTTTGATTTGTACCATAGGTTCCCATATTTTTTCAGGTACACAATTGACTAACCTGTGCATGTATTTGTGACAAGTGCCGCCGGTAGGGCAGGCTACGTTCACCTTATCGCTAACACCTGGTATCATCACTATTTAACCTGATTCCTCAACACATGCTCATGTTATAACCGGAATCGTACAATGGACAATGATTCTATCAGATATGTGTTATGAATATGGAAAGGAATGTATAATTATGTTGTTTATATTTTAATCACTTGGTCATATTAAAAATTACAAACGTATGGTCAAAATGAGCGGAAAGGTAGCGCTTTAGGCCCCCACCACCACCCAAGGTGTAGAGTCTGAAACTTTAGGAAGATGTCACAATTATAAAACTCGTGTTTTCAACGTTCATGGCGTTAAACTCCTTTTTCAGATTTCTAAAACGAATCATAAGAAGACCTAAATAATCCTTCTACAAACCAAACAACACATGGATATTACCTGTAACAAAACAGTGGCTTTCAACCTTTTCATGTCTGTGAAATTGTTAAAAAAGGTGAAAATTAACAATAACAATCTTCTCTCAATTCTATATCGCCACGGAGATGAAAGCTTTTGAAGATGTGTAGGACTAAAATTTGACTTTGATTTTTCGTTTCATGACATGTACAAATTCGTTATTGGTCCTTACATTTAGGAACATTTTTTAAAGATCACACCCCCCACTCCACCTAAGATGATATTTTGGTAGGAGGTACTTCGAAGGGTTGTTGTGTAATGGGTTCACACATTATCGGGATTCGAACCCGGGTCTTTGACGTGATGTGCCATCGCTTTTTTTTATCTGGCTACCCCAACACAAACCAACTGGCATTACGTATCCACAAACAGTCACAAATATTGTTTTGTTGCACTCACATACATGTACGGCATATCGAATTATATCTTCACATAAATATAGAAAAAATACATCTACATTGTAACATGTTTAGAAACTAAAACAGGGGGTGCATTTTTAAGCATATGTAACTACATACATTTATAATAAGTAATTAAGTTCTTTTTGCAGTCTATGCTGGAGCATTTTAGATCTCCAACAAGATTGCATTCATTATCAAGGCCTGAGTCTCTGCCTTGGGGCCCTCAGAACGTCTTCAACTGATGAACCGCCCCTTAAACAACTTTGCATCAAATTATCCTCTTTGCATATTTCTAAATTGCATACTCCTTAATCCAATCCAGCGTATGACTGTTTTTGAAACCCTTTCTATGAGGATCTCTATAAGACATTTTCCTTTCTGCTGCTAAAATACGCTCCAACAAAACATTTGTCTTCTCCTACATGGCAGTTGGTAAAAGCAACGGAGGACATAATATTAACTAAACTTAAATCTGAAACAAATTAATTATTTTTTCAACAAGCAAATAATCAGTTAAGACGCTCATACAAATTGAATACATGCAAAGCTATATTTACAGATGGATCCAAAGCTTTTCATTTTTACGCAGAAATCACAGTCCATGTTAACAGAACTATAATTATAAATATTAATAAACAATCGAAACTGGAACAATTTAGTACATTTTCAGACATTGTTGAACTATATAATGATCTTTCTGCTACCCAATACGACGTCACTTTCATCGGTAAGGGAGCAACTATTTGAATTTTGGGTAGGGTAGTGGTATTGTTTCTAAATAATTAACCCTAAGTATTACTGACAGCAAATTACATAGGACCCGATTGTAGTTCAACATTGTCCCCTTTTCTTGCATACGGCGCATATTGAAATATTGAGAAGTCAAATTTACAACTGCTTATATTAAACTGTTTCCACACAATCCTGTTAAAGCCAGATTGCGATTGGGGCCAAGTTCCCAATGTCTTTAAAAATCCCCAATGGCCCTCAAGTCCAGCTCCTGGCCTTCACGTGGTGGAATTGTTCTCACTGACAGGAGAAAGGGTGAAAGGTGCCAAAACCAGACGCTTCGGGCAGAGGGAGCTCGTCATCCTTGGCTGGCTGCTCTTCTAGGAGAAGGAAAAGTCAGCGGAAAGGCTGAGAGAGTACACGTCTCACAGCAAACCCGAGTCGGGGTCCCTCAGCCAGTCTGGTGTTGTCTTCAACACGGGAAGCAGTGCTATATGGCCTGGGTTCGTGGGCCTTAGGGCTCTGACCAGCCTGACCCGCGGACTGTAAACCTTGAGCAGGGGGGAAACTCATAACTGACTCAAAGCCAACTCTTGTCAGTCTCCAAGCGCCCAAGAGAAAAAAAGGGCGTCCAACGCTAGTCTAGAATGCTTTGCGAAGTCTAGATGGCCTCGGCTCTGGGGTATGTCCAAATCTCCATCGTTCACAAGCCAGATTCTGGCGTTTTATCCGTTAATTTTGTTCTTTCCACTGGTGTTTACAGCTGATGTGGGTGACCCCTACTGTAAACTTAATGAATGCCACCTTTGGGAGCTCATAATAACACTCTATACAGGGTTTAGGCTTTATGAGGAGGAAGCATCCCTGCATTGAACATTCACAGTTTTTATATAGTTGCAATGTTATGCAAGGTATTAAAGGCAATTCTGACTACACTTTTTAGACTTAATATTAAGCATATCCGTCCGAATAAGAAATAGTTATTGTGAAGAACTTGTGTTATTTTGTTCACCAACTGGATGTGGAAAGTCACTAACATTTGAAATTGCATCATTCTTATAGATACTATACAGAGCTGGAAAACACAAGAACAACAGTCTTGATGCCACACTGGGAAGAGGAAGGATACTAGAGAGTGGTCAGAGTGAGTGAGTTCGGTTTAACGCCGCTTTTAACAGTATTCCAGTTATATCACGGCGTGTCAGCTTAATGTGGGAGGAAAGCCGAAGTGATGCAGGTCGCAGACGTTTATCACTACAGGGAAACCCACGAGCACGGGTATGGAGCTGACAAACCTAAAAACATAATTAGGGCGAACCGGGATTCGAACCCACAATCATAGGTTTCTGGCGTGCCCAAGGGACGCAACTCTGCACAGCGAATCGCGGAGGCTCAGACGACTGGACCACCATTGCCCCCGGAGTGGTCAGAAATATGCTGTCTGTGTAGCAGTGACATATAAACAGAAATGAAGGTAGACTTTGACAAAATTACAACAAATTAGAGCTTTGCAGATTTAGTTAGTCCCTGAAATTAAGGATTATTCTGGGCTTTATTTGGAATTAATTATTTTTCTTTCGTAGATATATATTTTAAATAACTTTATTTCTGGAACTAAATGTCAGTCTGAGCCGACATCTGCGAGTTCATCGCCGTCAAGGAGGAATGTGTGCAGCACGAACATAATACAAACTCTGCCCCAATCAGAAGCCCCAGCACGTTCTGTGAGCAGTCGGATGCAAAGTTCAGAAAACTATAAGAGGCGTTAATAACTGCTGGCTTTGGAGAACAGCAACCTAACAACCAACAGCAAGGCAGCGAGTCTTTCCAGTACAAGAAACGCTTTGATGTCTTTCACCAAGGCGTATCCTCGGAATCAGCTGGAGTGACCGAGTCAAAAATACTGAAGTTCTCTCCCTTGCCACGAGTCTCTTCACTCTGCTGAAATGGCACCGACTTGGTTGGCTTGGCCACGTCAGTTCAAGGGAGGACGGAAGGATCCAGAAGGATCACTTGCATGGGGAGCTCGGCTCCTGTAAAAGTGTGCTCTTAAGACGTCTGCAAGGAAGACTTAAGGGCGCTGGACATGAACGGTGAGAGGACTGCGTGAGATAAGGAGGTAGGAGCTCAGCATGGAACCCAGGAAAGGCGATGCCAAACTGCAACAAGTCGCTGAGGAAAATCGAACTCGGCAGAAGAACTGCCAGAGCACAACTCCAGCAGACTACTCCATATCGCCTTTAAATCGAAATATCGATAACGGAAAACAACTCGCTAATAATGCGAAGACAGATATGTACTATGAAATTAATCTGTGTAATAATTTAATCGCAAATCCATTTCTAATAACAGGTCTCTTAGACCGTTACGTCTGTATGTGCACATGGTAAACAAATGGTGTATATGAATGCGAAGTGTATGAGTCGCACGGTTTTAGCCCCATTCGGATGTTTGTAATTTTCGAGAGTTACTCTAAAAATCCCTAAAAAGCAATAAGCACCAATTGGCAACCTTGTCTTTGTGTGTGCATAGTTTCAAGAAAGAGTACCTGTTAGCTTTAATATATGGTCCAGACAAATCCACCATTATGAAGAGAGTCAAAGTCAAACTTGTTGCCATGGAAACAGGACATTTCTCTAGATTCCTAAATGGCAAAAGGCACGACTTTAATCCCTTGATTAATAGTCCAGGTCCGGAAATGACACCTACCTCCGTTTCAGGTAGGTCTAAACTTGTTTCCATGGAAATTTGGAAAAGGTCCTAAACAGCAAACGGCACAAAATGATTACGGGCGGGCGGGCGGACGGACAGACAGACCAGGCGTCGACTATACGAGGCGTCCCCGGGGGAGGGGGATAATAATCTTCCGTGAACGTTCCCAACAACGATAACAAGACAAAAATAGCGTGTACGTACATTGATTTTCGCCTTTAGTCTTTAATATCGATGCCAAATTATCAATTAAAAAACAGTTTCAATGTTCGTTTATACAACGAAATGGTTGTAGTTAAAATGCAAATTAGCACTGTAATCCTAATTTCGAATATCGTTTTCTGTCGATGTACCTCAGGAGGTCGAGGAGGTCCCATCCTAACAGGAAGGCACATGGAGCCAACAGGACAATGAATACCACCTTTCCAGTCATCTGTTGACTCTCAGAGCGGTTGGGAGTGGAAGTTTTCTTGCCGATCTGCTTGGAAAGTTGACGTTTGGGAAGCCGGAGATCTTTGATCACGTCATCGCTAACCTTGGGGATAGAGGATGCCACTCGCTCACACTGACGGTAACAAGCGTTGGACGTGTTGCAACCTGTAGCATAAAATGGTGAGGACGAATACAATCATACTTTGTTTAACATTAAACGTCAGGATATACTGAGTGTAGACGTCTTACAACATTGTGAGTAACTTATATGGTCAGCAAACTACTTCTCAGATCAATGCTTTCATCTGGCACTTAGTTTAGTTGGAACCACAAAATGCACCTAGCTTACATCCCGTTTCCCAAAATCTGAAGTAACGCTTGTGAATACAGATATTACATAGCGGGTTTTAACGTATATTATCAGGAACAGAAACTGTATTATAACTTATTATTCATAGTATGATGGTATAAAATGAGGATGACATTAAATACTTTCCTTGAAATCTTCATAATTTGTTGCTTAATGCCCCCATTAGCAATAATCTAGCTAAAGTACCTTGCCTGTAAGAAATTACAATCGAGTCTGGAACAGGAAACAGATTAACGTGGATTCAACAGCCACGTCACAACTTGACCACCCTGTCCATACAGGAGACCATTGTAAATTGCACAGATAAATTTGATAATTCGCTCCCCTATTCAAAGTTCCTATAGTTACCCAGTAACCAATATGCCCTGGTATACTACAAATACCTTTTGGAAAATATGGTGGCGATACTGGTGTAGAAGTTGTTGTTGTGAGCATCGGTGTAGTCACAGATGATGGCTGTGTTGTAGCAACAGATGGTGGCTTAGTTGTAACCACGGGTGATGTCCGAGTTGTAGTCACAGGTGATGTCTGAGTTGCAACCACAAGCGATGTCTGAGTTGTATCCACAGGTGATGTCTGAGTTGTATCCACAGGTGATGTCTTAGTTGTAGCCACAGGCGATGTATGAGTTGTAGCCCTAGGTGATGTCCGAGTTGTAGCCCTAGGTGATGGTTGTGCTGTAGTCACAGACCGAAGACCTTGAAGTGACATAATTCAGAATTTTAAAGAAAGTGTAATTTCGCTTTGACATAGTTGACGAAGAAGATTGTGTAAGTTTCCTTTTGTGTGTGTTACGTTCGCACCAAGTAACTATGGACATACACACTTGAATTTACTTTTTTTTATGTATACCGTTCGCACCAAGTAACTATGGACATACAATCTTGAATTTACTTTTTTTTTATGTATAACGTTCGCACCAAGTAACTATGGACATACACACTTGAATTTACTGAGCCAACGTCCATGGCAATTCACTTGAAGCCAAACATCAGTCAACGTCATAAATAGATCTAGGGGTTGTCGTGTTGGGGTACATTTACCTCACAATACTTATTATGTTATTTGTGTTTTCGTTTTTTTTGCTAAACGCCGCACAAAGCAATATTCAAACTCTGTGACCGCGGCCTGTAAATAATCTAGTCTGGACCAGACAATTCAGTGATTGAGAGTCTGATCAACGATAACGCGCAATTAACCAAGTCACCAAGGATTACCATTCATTTGGTCACTGATGACCCAATAGAACCTGGAATCCTCACGGGACTGAGATAATAATAATTTATGTCAATTTTGCTGTTTGTACCCACCTGTACACATATATTTGGAGACAAGCTTCTTCATTTGATCAAGCTTATTGAAACTTTGTACGTTAACCATATTCTTCCCCGGTGGTCCGCTTGCAATTGCCTTTAATTCAGTATTATTAGCCTGCTTTATACCCACAACAAATATGTGGATACCTGACTTCTTTGCTATGGTGGCAGCAGGGATGGTCTGACTTTCTTCCATATTTGACCGTCCATCAACTAATAGAAGCAGGACATTCCTGACATCTTTTCTGTCCCCGTTCCATGTTTGAAAAACGTTGGTGTTTGCTGTTTTAAGGCCGGACGCAATATTAGTATTTCCCTGTTTATAATTGATGTTTTTAATAGCACTCTCAATATCGTTTCTTGAATTGTAGGAATTCAGATAGAATTCAACATGGGAGGAGCTGGAGAAAGTGACCACTCCAACCCGGACCTTTCCGTCGTCTATACTTGTATCTTTTACGACTTCGATGATCAATTTCTTTAAACGATCAAAATTGGCACGTCCAACACTTCCAGACGAGTCAAGCAGAAACACCAGATCCATGTAACTGTTGGAACAGTCTTCAAATGTTGCTGCAAGAACAACACTATATGTCTGAGGATGCATGACAAAACATGTGGAACAAAGAAAACAATAAATTCACCTTTTGGTTGATTGGTTGGTTTGTTGTTTTACGCCGCACTCAGCAATATTCCAGCTATATGACGGCGGTCTGTAAATAATCGAGCCTGGACAAGACAATCCAGTGATTGATATCGTGAGCATCGATCCACGCAATTGGGATCGATGACATGCATCAACCAAGTCAGCGAACCTGACCATCCGATCCTGTTAGTCGCCTCTTACGACAAGCATAGCCGACTTTAACAACAAGCATGAGTAGCTGAAGACCTATTCTACCCAGGATCTTCACCGGTCTTCTGAGCATAATTCCACAGCAAATATTTAGATGCAGTATTAACATCGTATATATATTTAAGAGAAACTAAGGTAAAAGAGAGACTAAAACATCATCATCATCATTAAAATACTTTAATGAGAACGTTATTTCGGACAAATTTTCAGACAAAAAACTCATGACTGTAATACAAGTTTACTGAGTGATATTTTCTTTGAATATTCTACACATAAACGATATGCCATCCGTAGAGCATTGTACTAACGTCTGTTTCAGTGTGTGCTGAGTTATCCATCCATGTTGTTGTAAGAATATTATTGTAAACAAATTTCAATCGATTTCTTTAACAAACGTGTACCAAACCATAGCCATGCCTCCACCTTATAGAAACATACACATTTTCACTGTTGCTTGCTTGGTTTGTTTGTGTGTTGTTTAACGCCGCACTCAGCAACATTCCACCTATATGACGGCGGTCTGTAAAAAAATCGAGTCTGGACCAGACAGTCCAGTGATTGATATCATGACCATCGATTTGCATACGATGCATCAACCAAGTCAGCAAGCCTGACCATCCGATCACGTTAGTCGCCTCTTACGACAACCGTAGTCGCCTTTTTACGGCAAGCATGGGTTGCTGAAACACAGGTCTGTGGCGTGATGACCAAACACATTAAGCACTAAGTTTCATTGAAGAAGGGTTACATTATATCAAAACTTAGCATAGAACAAAATATCAATGAAACTAGAGACAGTGACCACGAAGGTACGTTTAACTATGATAAGCAAATTGACACTTTAATTTGTTTGTCTATCATTCTATATGGATATGACGAACCATAATACGTGTAGTGGTCAAAATTTCATCGTTTTCTTTTAGCTTCTAAAAAGGGTATATTTATTTTTCGTTTCTTTGCAATTTGTAATATTCCCATTCCGTTTTAAGTTCTAAAATTTGTATTAACTGGTCTTAAGCCACTACCCTTCTAAATATATAACAAGGGGAGGTAAATGCTCTGGAGTCAGTTTTTCAAGCCATGTGGTAGCCAGAAGGCACATGTCCAAGTCACCAAGTCATATTTTTGGTCTAAAACAATGGTAAGCCAGTTTCACAATTTCACACCAAGCCTCAAACAACTAATGTAAATGCAATGTAACATTACATACATAATGCTAAACTTTTAGTAATTCGCTAGTGTTAGAACTGATAATTGTTTCATCTGTGTGTGTTAGTTCTTCTGTAGAAGCTCACCTTGCCTTACTTGCCCATGAAGTTCAAATGGGAGCCTAGTCCTCTTGAAGTTAACTATTGTTTAATATGTATAGACATTTAATTGTTTGTTTTGTTAAGCACTGAGACAGCTTCTCATCTGTTTCAGTCAATCTGTATGTGGACTGTATGTGCAAAAGAGCAAAAGAAAATAGATAAGAAAGAATGAAAGAAACCAAAATAAAGAATTAAGAACACAAGAGACTTGGTTGTTACAATACGAATAGTTAACAAACAGTAAGTAATCTTAAGCTTTATTATGTAACCCTAGTTGCTTGGATTCAAAAGTACGTACAAAGTAAGTACAAAATCGATAGAAATATTCTAGCATTGAGTCCCGTATGTGTCGCATTCGGTGGACTCACATATTAGAGCGTGGACCGAGTAACCAATAAAATGTATTTGGCGTAACTCAATATCGTACTGTGCCGTTACGTTCGTGTTTCAGTCAGGAAACGTTTCAAGCTTTGTTTGTTTGTTGTTTAATGCCGCATTCATTAATATTTCAGCTATATGACGGCGGTCTGTAAATAATCGAGTCTGGACCAGACAATCCAGAGATTAATATCATGAGCATCGATCCACCCAATTGGGATCGATGACATGCATCAACCAAGTCAGCGAGCTTGATCACCCGATCCCGTTAGTCGCCTCTTACGACAAGCATAGTCGCCTTCTTCGGCAAGCATGGGTTAGCATTCAGTCGCTGAATCAATATATGTACACCATAGCAATTATGCTCACCCTTGTGAAATATTAACACATGTTTGTTATAAATATCAATAATAATAATTGTTCATCAGCGTTTTATGAAGGGCTCTAAGCAACTGGTCGCTTTCTGGCCTAGATAGATAAATGCAGCTTGGAAATCGATAGCAAATGAATAAATACATTTACAAGCGGCAAACAAGTACAAACTAGTTTGTTGATAAGTTTGCTGTATACCGATCCCGTTAGTCGCCTCTAACGACAATCATGGGCTGCTGAACACCAATTATAACTCGGATCTTTGCGGGTGTTGTCCTTATGCCTGTCATTTATGATGTACATGATATTACATGAAAACAACAGAATTTGTTCACTTAATGTCCTGAAGGAAAGAAGTTTTAGGCATGTTTAATCAAATTGTCAAACATTCCAAATTGTGAGACAAGTGGATTTCCGAAGAGATGGTGCAAATTATTGTATCACTTTTTTCAAACAAAGATGAATAAGAAATGCAAGCTGTATATGACAATATACATTTATGTGTTGAAGAAGTCGTCTGTTCTGAATATATATTCTTCAAACAACCAACGGCCCGGAAACGTATTTCACATTGTCAGATTTTAAGTTTGTAAAACCTTCACTGTCTCGGGGTATTGAAAACAATCACGGATTTAGAATGTGCAATAAATATCTATTGCACATTATATATCTTTACATGTGATCCGGGTAAGAATTGGTCTGCAGCAACCTATGCCTGTCGTAAGAGGTGATCATGCTTGTCGTAAGAAGCGACTAACGGGATCGGGTGGTCAGGCTCGCCGACTTGGTTGATGCATGTCATCGTATCCCAATTGCGTGGATCGATGCTCATGATGTCAATCACTGGATTCTTTGATCCCGACTCGATTATTTACAGACTGCCGTCATATGGTCACTTTTTACGGCAAGCATGGGTTGCTGAAGATATATTCTAACCCGGATCTTCACGGATGAATACACTTATCACATTCCAGTTCATCACTGCCATCAACACAGTCATGCCGTCCGTCACAAAGTCTTTTGTAAAAGATCCACTGTCCGTTTCCGCAGGTGATCTGGATAATTATATTTCATAAACACATACCAAAGTCGGAATCGTACAATCAACTCTGCTTTCAGCAGAGCTTTCTAGTGAATATGGAAAGGGTTTTGTTGTTTATATATCATTAACAAACGTCAATGTTATAATAATATGAACATCCTTACTGTTGCTTGGTATAGATGGTTGCAGAGTAGTAGCTTGTGGGACAGGTCCATCATCTGAAATGAAGTGAGTTGGGTTATTAGCTGCTTTCAACATACCTCCAGCAATATCACGGCGGGAGACATCATGAACGGGCTTCACCCATGAGGGAAATCAAACCCAGGTCTTCGGCGTGATGACCGAACGCTTCAATCACTGCGTTTCATAGACAACGCGTCACATTATATCAAAACATAGAATAGAACAATACACATTACTAGTGAAAGTGACCAACAAGGTACGTTTTAGTCTGATAAAAAGATTGACACTTGAAATTGTTTGTCTATAATTCTATGTGGATTTGAAGAACCACAACACGAATAGTTAACAAACAGTTAGGAATCTGTATCTTTATTATGTAACCCTAGTTGCTTGGATTCAAAAGTACGTACAAAGTACAAAATCGATAGAAATATACGTCAAGCATACAGTCCCGCATGTGTCGTATTCGGCGGACTCACATATTAGACCGTGGATCGAGTAATCAATAAATGTCTACATGTTATCCCTCTAGCCTTAATCGATACCGTTACATTGATGGTACATCCGGGACAAGAGATGAGAGATGTGAATTTGGCTTTGCTATTTTTTTATCTCACAGGCCAGTTGTGTTGTGAATATCTGTCGTGCGTTTTATCATATCCCAAGGATAGCTGACGTTATACGAGTGAGTGAGTACGGTTTTACGCCGCTTATAGCAGTATTACAGCAATATCACGGCGGGGGACAGCAGACATGGGTTTCACACATTGTACCCATGTCGGGAATCGAACTCGGGTCATCGGCGTGAGGAGCGAACGGTTTAACAACTAGGCTACCCGACCGCCCCTGACGTTATAATACATTAATATCACATAAGTTCATACCAAAACACCTAGTAACACAGAAACGATTAGATCATAATGTTACAAAACGACAATGAGCTGGACCTGTGAAGATTCCGGGGTAGAATAGGTCTTCAGCAACCCATGCTTGCCGTAAAAGGCGACTATGCTTGTCGTAAGAGGCGACTAACGGGATCGGGTGATCAGGCTCGCTGACTTGGTTGATGCATGTCATCGATCCCAATTGCGTGGATCGATGCTCATGATATTAATCACTGGATTGTCTGGTCCAGACTCGATTATTTGTAGACCGCCGTCATATAGCTGGAATATTGCTGAGTGCAAACCAACCAACCAACCAACGACAATGAGCTGATACTGTATTTTATGAAATACAAGAGGTTCTTCATTGCTTTTATTTTTTGTTCCCCGAACATTGCAAATGTTTTTGTTAGATGTGAGTCGTCCTTTGAAAAAGAAACTAAACATAACATCAAACATTTTCGCGGGAAATACACCCCTTATGCACCCTTATGTTTTAGGTGTCAAGTCAAAGGTTCTTTCAGGAACACTAATCATACCTTTTCCGATATCATGATGATCGTACTCATTGAATAAAATATTGACTTTGAACATGGCTATTCACTAACATTACAAGAGCCAGTGTTTTGCTCCCCCACGCATCCCCGCCACCATCCCATACTTACAATGGAATGTACAGTGTTAGCCCCACAGATTATCTATCGAATCAATGTCATAACTAATATTAATTAAGTTTTAGTTGATTGATGTATCATTGCTCTTTAAACCTAAACCAGGACAGACGGTTTCAAACACGACAAGCATGGGTTGCCGAAGACGAATTCTAACCCGGATCTCAACGGGTGGTATCCTTATGCTTTGTTTGTTTGTTGTATAACGCCGCACTCAGCAATATTCCAGCTATGACGGCGGTCGGTAAATAATTGAGTCTGGACCAGACAATCCAGTGATTGACATCATGAGCATCGATCCACGCAATCGGGATACGATGACATGCATCAACCAAGTCAGCGAGTCTGACCAACCGATCCCGTTTGTCTCCTCTAAACGACAAGCAGTCACCTTGTACGGCACGCATTGGTTGCGGGAAGACCTATTCTAACCCGGATCACATGCAACGGTATATAATGTGCGTCATTTAATTGGCGTCATGTCAATGACCACTTTTGCTTGGATCATAAACACAAAATGAACTGAATCTTAGAACAGTGAAACATGATGTCAAGGTGGTAGAAATAAAATTAAGTGCACAATCTCTCTGTAAGAAGTACCGTGTCACTTTGCTGCCTTTTGGGGAAATCATTCTCCTGGAGAAGCTAGTTAGGCATCTTCCCAAGGCAAGAGAGTTAACTGACTATGAAAGTCCAGTTGGCTTGAATAACGAGTCTATGCATAGTCCAATCAAATTCGCGCACCGAAATCGAAATCCGGTTCGTAAACTGTCGTGCAGATTTCGGTCTCATTCGTGACCAACTCGTGTTATTCCGGGACAAGCCGAAAAGCGACTCGTGCCCCTCTCATGGCCATTTTAGCGACCGGGTTCCGTCTAAGCGCAAACGGGCATACATAAAACAATTGTCAACTCGTTGCGTAATGCTTCACATATATTTCCCCATATATTATATATATTTCAGATGCAATTTATAGCACATCTGGGCATGCGGAATCATACTGTATGATTGAACACATTTAACTGTGTCATGGGCATATTTCTAGATGCAAGACAAATGTAAAATCAAAAGTTATTTCTGAGGGATTCTTTGATGAAGAACTTGAAATCATACGCGCATTCTGATTGGTTTGTCGTATTTTCGCACATAACATTCATCGATAGGGGGACGAGTCTTCTTGCAGGTTTCGGAAAGGGGCGAGTGGTGACGAATGACTTCGGTCCATTGCAGGATTTGCAAAACATGTGCACCGCCAACTCGTTGTCAGCAGATCTTTTCATGTTATAATCAAGGTGCTCACGTGATTAGACGCATTTCGCGATGTGAGACCCGTTTTATTACAATATAGATCTTGAACATCGATCAGATCGTCTTGACTGGGCGCCACCATTTTATGTGAAGCAAACGCAAGTGATACGAGAGTTGGAATCTGATTGGCCTATAGGAGAGGCTTAGAAGGGACATAACTGGTAATAGCCACTGGTGGCGCTACGATCGAGCCCAGTAATTCCAGCCAAGTTCGGCAAGGGTGAAAACTGGACTTTTATAGTCAGTTATCTCTCTTGCCTTGGGAAGATGCTAGTTAGGTTGATCATATGTATTAGGTGTCATTTATGAAAGGGCGATTTTGCTAACGATAGCATCTATCTATGTCAAATAAAGTTGGATGAGTCAGTGGGAATTCACTTACAGGATTCCGGTTCACCACTGCCATCAACATGACAACGTCGTTCGGGAGGGAAGAACCACAAACGTTTGCAGGGAGCTGCTGTAATATAATAATAATTATCACTTGAAAACGTGTTCCATTTTTACTGGAATCCGGAGAAGATAACATTTATCATCATATAATATTTTGTTTTATGCATTTAGATCCGGTATGCTAAATTCAGAGTCGATTGTACTAACACGGGGTTGTATTTTACGTAAGGTTTTGCAACAGTGTAACTATATCATGGCATAATAATGGGCCTCACACACATGTCCATGTGGGGAATCAATACCAGGTCTTCAGCATCACAGTCCAACGCTTTCACTAAAAGGCTGAGCCACGCATATGAAAGACCAATAGTTGATTCAAGCGTTCAAGTGACATATTGACAAAACACAAAACGACCAATAATGATTAATTTTACACACCCGGAAAAGGTTAAGCACCTTTGTTTATAAATTGAAGAAATATTGTTTTTAAACGGGGCCCACACATATTACCCAACAGTAACATGAAACGACAGTTCAGGATATTGACTGACATGTCTTTGTTTTAAATGTGCATCTTAAAAAACGGTGTAGATCTCTAAAGGCGACCGCCTCCGTGGCCTAGTGAGTATAGCGTCTGAACGGAGAGCGGAAGGTCCGGGATTCGACCCTCTGCCGCGTCATACCAAATGACGTTAAAAGATGGTACTTGTTGTTACCCTGCCTGTCGCTCGGCATTTAGGGGCTGAAACAAGGACTGGTCGGCTCAGTATACTTTTTCTGAGTGGGGTATTGGTGGTTAACTGCAGCATACTATCTCAGTGGGCTAGCACTATAAACTCGGCATTAGTGAGTATAAACCCACCACGTGCGGCGGTGATCTGTAAAGAATCGATTCTGGACAAGACAACCCAGTGGTTGATATCATTAGCATCGATCTATACAATTGCAATATGATGACGAGCATCATCCATGCAAACATGACCACTCGATCCCTTTAGGCGCCTCTTACGACAAATGGGTTGATGATGTCCAATTCTGGCCCGAATTGAATAGTATCTAATAACCTACCAGTTACACTCGATGCTACACTTACGGCATTGTGACCCGTGAAGCTTCGGGTAGAATAGGTCTTCAGCAACCCATGCTTGCCGTAAAAGGTGACTATGCTTGTCGTAAGAGGCGACTAACGGGATCGGGTGGTCAGGCTCGCTGACATGGTTTATGATGCATGTCACCGTATCCCAATTGCGTGGATCGATGCTCATGATGTCAATCACTGGATTCTCTGGTCCAGACTCGATTATTTACAGACCACCGTCATATAGTCGCTTTTTACGGCAAGCATGGGTTGCTGAAGACATATCCTAACCCGGATCTTCACGGATGAATACACTTATCACATTCCAGTTCATCACTGCCATCAACACAGTCATGCCGTCCGTCACAAAGTCTTTTGTAAAAGATCCACTGTCCGTTTCCGCAGGTGATCTGGATCATTTTATTTCATAAACACATGCTTATGATATAGTCGGAATCGTACAATCAACTCTGCTTTTAGCCGAGCTTTTTGTTGAATATGGAAAAGGTTTTGTTGTTTATATATCATTAACAAACGTCAATGTTATAATAATATGAACATCCTTACTGTTGCTTGGTATAGATGGTTGCAGAGTAGCAGCTTGTCAGACAGGTCCATCATCTGAAATGAAGTGAGTTGGGTTATTAGCTGCTTTCAACATACCTCCAGCAATATCACGACGGGCTTCACCTTTATGGGAAATCAAACCCAGGTCTTCGGCGTGATGACCTAACGCTTCAATCACTGCGTTTCATAGACAACGGGTCACATTATATCAAAACATAGAATAGAACAATACACATTACTAGTGAAAGTGACCAACAAGGTACGTTTTAGTATGATAAACAAATTGACACTTGAAATTGTTTGTCTATAATTCTATGTGGATTTGAAGAACCATCACACGAATAGTTAACAAACAGTTAGGAATCTTTGTCTTTATTATGTAATTCTAGTTGCTTGGATTCAAAAGTACGTACAAAGTACAAAATCGATAGAAATATACGTCAAGCATACAGTCCCGCATGTGTCGTATTCGGCGGACTCACATATTAGACCGTGGATCGAGTAATCAATAATTGTCTACATGTTATCCCTCTAGCCTTAATCGATACCGTTACATTGATTGTACATGCGGGACAAGAGATGAAAGATGTGAATTTGGCTTTGCTGTTATTTATCTCCAAGGCCAGCTGTTTTGTGAATATCTGACGTGCGTTTTATCATATCCCAAGGGTATCTGACGTTATACGAGTGAGTGAGTATGTCATCGTATCCCAATTGCATGGATCGATGCTCATGATGTCAATCACTGGATTGTCTGGTCGAGACACGATTATGGAATGAATTATGTTCAAGTCATTTATCATATTAAAATTTGCAAGATGAATATCATGAAACATGAAAATATAATTAGTGGGTACCTTTCTTCCCTTTTATATGAACTGATAGCCATTCAGTGTTTTATTTTGCTCTATATTGTTATTGCTCTTCTACCACGATTTCAATAAGCGTGAAACAACTCTTGCTAAGAACTTGTTTGATCACGGTTACAACATTCAAATAAAGCTTTTAAAACGTTTTATTGTAGACATGTGGAGAACATTTCCAAAACTTGACGCATCAGTGACAAAAACGATGGCCGATGCAGTTCCCAATTTTGACAATTTTATCGCCCTTTGCATGTGTTTGTAACTGTTGAAACCGGTGGTAAAGGATACGCTCACCTTTTCGCGAACACATGGTATCATCGCTTTTTGATAGTAATTCATAAACACATGTTCAATGTATATTCTCTGCCACACAAGAAACGTAGAAGTGATTATAGATATTTCTTTTTCATATAAATAATCAACGTAATAGATTGTTGCAAATGGGCACACATAATTGTCATTGACCAAGGTTTCCTGTGGTACACATAGAACAGTAGATTTACACGATTAAGGTAGTCTGTTCTCAATATCGTGTATGGCCACCAATAGAGTCCAAAAACTCATCCCATAGAAGCAGTCAGATCCCGAATTGTCTGGCGAATGTTCACCCACAGTGCTTGTGCCATCTGTTGGAAGTGGTTGTTTCTGACGTGCTCGCAGTCGTTGATCCAGTGCATGCCATAAATGCTCGATTGGGTATAAATCTGGAGACCTGGAGGGCCGTGGCAGGACATGGATGGTGTCATTTCTGAAAAGGCTGTTGTCAGTCTCACCATGTGAGGTCGGGCATTGTCTTGTTCGAAAATGACGTTCGCTTGATGCATTATGGGAAGGACGTGTGACCAAGATTCTCATCCACCTAACGTTGTGCCGTTAAATTCCCCAGAACTTGCACCACGTCTGTTCTACCAGTGTCGAAGATGGCTGATAACATCATCACACTACCACCACCAAATCTGTCCACTTTCTGTTTGCAGTTTCGTGTATACCGTTCCCCGCGACGCCTGTAGACACGACGTCTACCATTCGCACGTCTCGTCACTGACCAAACTTGTCTCCGTCGCAGTTGTGGCCATACTCTGTGACCTTGCCACCATTGACGTATCAGCCGACGATGCAGTCCGTCAAAATGACACCTCGAAGTTGTGGTCTCGCGAGAATTCCTTTAGCACGTAAACGGTTCCTTATTGTCTGGGCAGATATCCTACGCAATCCTGGTATTGTCGAAGTTCTTGGGGTGGCCGTAAATGACGTAGCAAGATGAATCCGTCCTGTGCTGTAGTAGTGATACGTGGTCGGCCGGATCTGGGAAGGTCACGTGTTGTCCGGCGGCGATAAACAACAAATCAAGCCAAAATACTACAATAACGCCGTTCAACTTATCCTTGATAATACATTTTGACCAGAAAGCACAAAGACAAACGAATGAGAGAGTGCAATACATATTCCGTCCACATCCGATGGCCTTAGACTTTTTAGGGATATATTTGCTTAACAGTAGCTTTATGACAAGATTGTTCATAAATTTCATTTATGCCATTTAACAAGGTGCTCGAATACCTACATTCTCTCTGGTTAAAGATGCTGAACCATATCGACAATCTATTGAAAATATTAGACTCTTTACCTTCGCTAACATTAAAGAGTTCGTGCTAACTTCTTCAAGAGAGGGTGAAGACAAGGCTACTGAATTGTGTTCAATTATGCCTTACGAATAACTTTTAAGTTATGAATTTGAAACCTCGTCAACAAGCTAAAGTAACCGATCTCAACTAAGATTTAGATGTCTCAAAATCAACTACACATACCTTAAAATTAAGTTAGCTATATCTCATTAGAGCCTGATTGTTTTAACTAGGAGTGTACCAATACGCCGTATCTTTATTTGTTCAAATTTGTCAAATTGTGCATTTGATTAGTTCTAAATCAGGGAAATTCAATCGGCCACCAGAATGTACAGTTTTCTGGTGCGTAGAGCGATGTTTTTATCAGCACATTGTGCATGTGCAGTGCTGTTTATTCCAGTGTTGCGTTTGTAGCCAAGGTGTTGATACTTGCAGGTTTCAATGACAGGATGTAAACATTTATTATTAAATTTCTAATGACCCCTTTGGAGTGGATTGCCAAGTCACAACGCCTTGCATGAGATTATAAGGATTATCAATACTATGTTTAAATTATTCACTATTTCCTACAAGTGTTTGTGGCAGTGCTGCCATTGGAAATTGCAGCATGAATATTGTGACTGAAAAGTATCGATTAGTTACACCAGTTCAGGCATATTTTTGCATCTAAATTCATTCAGAGCTTTGTTGGTTATGTCTCCAAACTGTCAGAACTAGCCAATTATAAATGGAAAGTAATACCATCATTCGTTGTTTGGCATTGCCTGATTCCAGAGTAATGTTTCTTCACAAGTGTTTGTTTATAGGCAAAGAGGATCTACTAGAAATCAGGAAAACGTGTTTTTTTTTCACTTTATATTAAACTGCTGTCAATATTCCAAGACAATTCAGATTACCTACAGTGCCTTCTGATGTCCTTCACATCAAATTACACATATTAGTCAATATCTTTGTTATATCCTTTACACATCAAAAAGTAATTTTTTTTTACTGAAATCAAGTCATGTTCTGTGTGAATCCACCACAATTATCGAGTCTATTATAATAAATGTGCAGGACACATTCGCCTCTTTAAATTCATTTATCTCCGTTGGTCCTATCTCTGAAGTAACGCAGAATTTCTCTGGCCCATGACAGTTATTTCACTGGTTGGCTATTGTAAGCATTGTGCTATTGGAATTAGTCTCGAAATAATGCTATTGTATTGAATGGGCCCTAGATTATTTTTTATACAGAACAGAGATATATATAATTCACTGTTTAGTACGAAATATAAAAAGGGTCACCGGGATGTACTGTTTCCTGGTGCGTAAAGCACTGTGTTTATTATCACGTCCTATTGATCATTCCAGTGTTGTTATACTTTGTGGTTTCAGAGACATGACGTAACAATGTAGTATCAAGTTTATTAGGGGATTGTTTGTCAAGTGACCGTAAGACAGCTTCATCCTTTCTCAAAACATCCAGGTACCAACAGCATCATGTATAAGATTAAAAGAGCCACCAACGCTATTATTTTAATAATCCATTATTTCTTACTACTGGTTCCGATAAACGGGAACTCATGCATGGTAACGACTTGTATTGGCCCCACCCATGACAATGGTAATCCATCAGTAAATGAAAAACATATAAGGGAGTGATCATGTAATTTCAGGGCGAGGGCCAGGAATAATAATTATTAAGCACCAGTTTTACTGAAAAATGTTACATATTCCTCGCATTGTTGGAAAAGAATACTGACTTATTTCTTTCAGACAGTGGATATTTATATATTAAAAAGTCAAATATAATTTGCAACTCCTATTTAACTGTGAAGCCGGAGTGGTTTGGGGGACAAGCAGCTATCTAGCACCTCAAAACCAGACGCTTCAGAAAAAGGGGTCTCCTCAGCCTTGGGTGGTTGCTCTCTTAGGAGAAGGAAAACTCTCATTCCCAACCCTGATGCTTTTCGGCTGTACCCATCCATGACGAAGGCTATGGGAAAACCAGAGTCGGAGTGGTATGCTGTATGCTGTTGTCTCCAAAACCCTTCATGACCTCGGAGAGATGAGTGATGTACGCAAGACCGCTGTCATCAACAACAAACTCTGAAGACATCGCTATGCTACAGGAGCTGATCAAACCAGAAAGCATGGCGTTGGCCTTGCTGTCATTGACCAAATGGTCAGAATGGCAAGAACAGAATGGAGAGACTTCTGAAGCTATGACTCGTCACAACCGACAGACCTCATTGGGGTGTACGTTCCAACCTTCTGCTCCACACAGAAGGCGAAGGACGAGTTCCAGTTCTACGGCCAGCTCCACAACAACCATCAGGTGATCCGATTCCAGCCAAATAGGATGCAACAGACTAAACTAGAGGCAAAGGCTCGTATCGATGTCAGCAAGATGTCACATCCGACGAGACTGGACTCTTTTACTGGTGCCTTGTTTGATTATCTGTTTACAGAACCTCCACAGGAAGATGCCAAGTGGCACGGAGCTGTGCTCCAATAAATCAGGGTGTCATAAAATAAGAATATAGTAATAAAGAAAAAATGGTAATAGGTACACGGGTTAATTA